AACTAGGCATGAAAAAGATTTGCAAAAATGTAAAACAGTGCCACTCCTGTCATTAAATTTTTCCTGTTTTAGAAAATAGAGTTATCTTTAATTAAAATGTTGATGTGTAATGGGTTTTCATGATTTTTAAATGAATTAATAAATATTTTTGAATGTTTCTCATTATAATATTCAATTTCTTTGGAGTCCTGGATAATTTCTAAGCCTGTAAAGAGATCCCAAGATGAAAAAGGTGGAAAATCTCTGGGCTAGTTCATGCTTGATAACCACCTGAAAATCTCCCTGGCTTAATCAATAGTTCATTTCTTGCTCATGTTACATATTCAGTGTGGATCAGCACAGGGGCTCTGTTTATCATAGTTACTCAGGGACCCAGGCCAAGGGCCACATTTCATGCTGCTATGCTTAACAGTTAGAAAAAGGAATATACACAGTGGTTTTTAAAGTGACATGTCAGGCTGGGTGTGGTGGCTCATGCCTATAATCCCAGCACTTTGGGAGGCCGAGGTGAGTGGATTGCCTGAGCCCCCGGGGTTCGAGACCCATCCAGGCAACTTGGCAAGACCTCGTCTCTACAATAAATCAAAAGTTAGCCAGGCATAGTGTGCGCCTGTAGTTCCGGCTACTTGGAAGGCTGAGGCAGAAGAATCTCCGGAGCCCAGCAGGTCAAGGCTGCGGTGGCTGGGAGCGTGCCACTGCATTCCAGTCTGGGTGACAGAGTGAGACTCCAACTCAAAAAAAAAAAAAAAGATTGGTAGGGTGGCTAGGGTGAACTGAACTGAAATGAGCAATGGGGAGAGTATAGGAAATGGAGTCAGAGAGGTGGTTAGAGACCAGATGACTTAAGGTCTCATAAACATGGGTGAGGTTATTTGGATTTTAACTTAAGGTAAATGGGAAGCCATTGGAGGATTTTGAGCAGAGTGATTACCTCATTCCTATTTTAAAAGAGTCACTGTGCCCTGCCATGTTAAGAAAAGACAACCGGGGTGAGGCCTGAAGCAGGGAGAATGTGTGGGAGTTATAGTCCTAGTCCAAGGGAGAGGTAATAGCGACTTGAAGTAAGTAGTGCGCTGGTAAATATGCACAAGCTCTCTGAGGGGGTAAAGGCTGTAATTTTTAAGATTCGTGAGCCTTTCTGATTTCTATGGTGTAAGTCCTCCCACTGTGGTGATTTCAGGGCTACCGATGTGCTGTCTCTGAATATGGGAAAAACTGCAGTCAGCATCTGTGACCTGGTACAAGCCAGCTCTAGCTCACCACAGTGAACTTGGGTACATTTAGCTTGGGGGTGTGTTTGCAGGGGCATTCAAGTTTGTCTTCATCCTCTAGGGCAGGAGGAAGCTTTACCACCTTTTTGGAAAGGAGGATAAGGAGGCCACGGAAGGGAGAGAGTTAGTTTATCAAATCCATCATGTCAGAGCCTTGCAAAATAAGCTTAGATGTTGGAGGCCTCTCAGGAGCTCTGGATTCTCAGACCCTTTGAAAGTGGAGCCCAGCCCAAAACCTCCCTGCAAACAGGAAGCTGGTTTGAGTTAAGAACATAAAATAAAAACCAGCTAATGCCCCTGGATGTTTTCCCCTGTTCCTCCCTCTCCATAGAGCCAAAGGAAACTGCTTTTTTTCCCCTTGGATAACTGCTTAGAAAGCTAGAAAAAGCCAGAAACCATAAATCCTTTGAAAATAAGCCAAGTAAACTGCCTGTGAGGTTTTCCTAGTTCGGAAGTATGTTCCACTGCTCAGGGTTCTAGGAGGAGAATGAGGAACACAAAGGTGCCAGTGGTCGGGCCGTGTCACCCAGGCCTGGCACAAAGAGATGGTCTGTAGCAGGAATTCCCAAGCTAGAGCTTCCAGCCCATTTGTAGGTCATGAAACCAGGAAAGTGGGCCATGACTGTAGTGGTTTTTTAATGAAATCGAATATAATAGAAAATATATCATAAGCAATGGAGTAAGTATTGCTTTGTGAAACTTTCATTTCAGTTTTATGTACATGTATACACATACATGTATGCATATACTGGGTCATGATACAAAATGTGCTTTTTACTGTGGGCTATGGTCAAAAAAGTTTGATAAACACCGGTCTTTAGGGTCTTAGTAACCCACATCTTCTTCCTGCTTTAGATTGCTATTTCAAAGTCCAAGCTACTTTCAGAATTAATTCTGTATGGCACTGGATTGTCTGCCCACAAAGCACCTTTCCAGATTCCTGTTAGAAGGAAGAGCAGCTGAGAACCAGCTAACTTGGTCTAATTCTTGGGGACCAATGCTGAAGCATAGGGAGGGAAAGGATCAATGCAAATCAGACTTTAAAGAATTTGCCTTAAATCAGATTAGCTTGGAAAGAATAGGAGATGAGTAGCCTTTTAGCTCACTGCACTTGATTTTGTGGCCTCTCCCATCTACTTGGGTAATGCTGACCTAGGGTTCCTTTCTCTCCTTTCTGCAGTAGGTGCAACAGGAATGTTTCTGAGTACTCCTTCCTCTGAGGTAGTTAAAGGCATAGTGCCAGGATGAGGGTGTGATGACTTCAGCTGAGTATCCCCTGGACCTCCCCAGGATGTTTTTGTGCACTCCAGTCAGTGATAGTTGACTGGCACCCGTGAGGTCATTAGGCTGAGGAAAAATTAGGGTAAACTGTCAAGAATTGTATTGGGTAGGATAAAGTGAGTTTATTTCACACTAGGTTCAGTGCCTCAGATAGGCCCAAGGGTAGTTGGCATGTTTGGTGCTTGCTAGGTGGCTGTGGATTGGTGCCCTGTACCAAAACCACCTCTACCAGTGAGTAGACACATGTTGGAATTCCTCATCTGCATCCCAAGGCCACACAAAGATGCTTGGGAACATTTCTGGGGAATCGGTTTTAACTGTAACATCCCAGGAGACTTATTTTGGTCTTTGGCCGCCTCTGGGTATTTCCTTACAACCTAATTGAAACTGAAATGTTCCTCAGAGATGACAGTTTATTTTTTGAGTTGGAGTCTTATTCTGTGGCCCAGGCTGGAGTGCAGTAGTAAGTTCATGGCTACTGAAGCCTCGACCTGCTGGGCCCAGAGGATCCTTCCACCTCAGCCTTCCAAGAAGTTGGAACTACAGGCACACACCACCATGCCCGGTTAATATTGTTATTTATTGTAGAGACAAAGTCTCGCCAACTTGTCCAGAGTGGTCTCGAACCCCTGGGCTCAGACAGTCCTCCACCTTGGCCTCCCAAAATGCTGGAATTACAGGTGTGAGCCACTAAGCCCAGCCTCAGAGATAAGAATTTAGATAGGCTCTCTAGGAGCACTTTCTTTCTTTCTTTCTTTCTTTCTTTCTTTCTTTCTTTCTTTCTTTCTTTCTTTCTTTCTTTCTTTCTTTCTCTTTCTTTCTTTCTTTCTTTCTCTCTTTCTCTCTTTCTCTCTTTCTCTCTTTCTCTCTTTCTCTCTTTCTCTCTTTCTCTCTGTCTCTCTCTCTCTCTCTCTCTCTCTCTCTCTCTCTCTCTC